CCAGCAGGCCCGGTCCAGGAGCGGCTCCCCATGAGAGGAGATTATTATTATTATTAATATTATTATTATTTTAATTTCTTCTTCTTTTAAGAAAACACACACAGAGGGAGGGGAGGGGGACGGGGGGGAGAGGGAGAGGGAGAGAGAGAGAGAGACCGCCTGCTTCACGTTTGGTTGCTGTCATGAAAAGTACCAGAAAGGGACTCGGTACTTTTCACACTTTTTGCGCAGAAAAGAATTTTGGTGGGGAAAAAAAACAGGAGCGGAACTCTATGGACGTTTGATTTTAGTTTCTGAAATGCACTTTGGTTTAACACACACCTGACTTTTCTTATTCTCTCTTTCTCACATCTTTTTTTTTAACCCTGTCATTAAATACCGTACAAGTATTGAAACTGAACAGCTGGCTACACACAAACACACACAAACACACACACAAACATATATATATATGAATAATCAATTCATATATATGTTTCCTCCACTACCATCCAGTCTACCTTTTTGTCCTTTTTCACAGACTGCTGTATTTATGTTTGGAGACAAACCATTCAACAGAATTGGCCAAAAAAGAGTGCGCATGCGTCACCTCCGAAAACGAGTCAAATTCAATATTTACAAATATTTCCCCACAAAAACCCTATTAAAAATCTATTTTCCACCAAAAAGGCAAAGGGAAGCTGAAATTGGAACCGGTCAACATGAGAAATAAAAAGGTAGTATTGATATTAGGTGTACATAGGATATATAAAATATTTATGTAATTATTTCATATTGTTATTGCGTGTAAATACAACGGAGTAGTTTGTTTCTATAGGGATCTGTTCTTAATTTATTGTGGATACACCTGTGTAAAAATAGTTTGTGGGCTATTACGTTTTTGTTTGTTTTTTTTTTTGTTTGTTTTTTTTTTTCTCTTTTTAAAAACACGGACTTTACTCCTGCCCTCAGATATCCACTGATAGTTACTCACACTCATGTGCCATTGTATTTTCACTTGTTGTCCCCGTGTGTGAAGTGCTACTGTTTGGAAAAAAGGAAAAAAAAATATTAATGATAATAATAATAATAATGATGATAATAATAATAATAGTAATAATAACGAATGGAAAAGCGACAACGCACTGCAGCAATGGCTTGACATATTCTTACTATTATTTTTTATGAGGAGAAAAGT